ATCAAGTAATGGGATTTGATTGAATCAAATTAACCCACCCATGACCCACTTGGCTCGGTTCTTGAAGCGGGTCTGGTTCGTCAAACGGTTCATCAAGAGGGCTATCCTCCCCAGCAACAAGAAAGTTTGTCCTCAAACTTGGGATAGGGTCATTCAGATCGTAGTATGGTTGAAGATCAACGACATTGAACGTAGCCGCTGCTGCAGGTGTTCTTAGAAGATCGACTTTGTAGGCGTTGTCGTTAACCTTGGCTAGAATTTTAAACGGACCTTCAGATCTGGGACTGAGCTTTGAACGGCGCTTGGATGGAAAACGATCCTTTCGAAAGTGAACCCAAACCAGATCACCCGGTTGGAAAAGAATGTGCTTGCGTCCTTTATCACGACGATACTTAATGAGTTCATTTGACTTGGTTATCTTATCATGTACAAGCTGATGCAAGGCCTTAATATCTGCAGCTCGATCACTGGCTTCCTGATTAAATTTAGATGATGTATCAAGGACTGCAAGGTCTAGTGGTGTCTTTGGGTCCAACCCGTAAACAACCATAAAAGGATTGTCTAGTGGTCTTGTTGGGTGCTCGATTATAGGCAAATTCAGCTTGAGGTAGTAATTCCTCCCATTGTTTCAGATTAGCATTGAGAAGCAAACGAAGTAGTGACCCGAGAGTACGGTTAGTTACCTCCGTCTGCCCATCGGTTTGGGGGTGACTGGAAGTACTAAATTTGAGCTTGGTACCCATTTTCCTCCACAAAGTTACCCAAAAATGACTTAGAAACTTGACGTCCCGGTCACTAACCCTTGAACGTGGGATTCCATGGAGTCAAACTATTTCTTTGAAGTAGAGATTAGCTATCTGGACAACATCATAGGTGGTATGACAAGCAATGAAATGAGCCATCTTGGAGAAACGGTCAACCACTATCATAATAGAATCCTTTTGGCGTTGCGTTCTGGGTAATCCAATAATAAAATCAAGACGAACGTCTTCCCAAGGGGCAACAGGTACGGGTAATGGCATGTACAAGCCATGGGGAGATGAGTGACTTTTGGCCCGGTGACAGGGTAAACACCGTCGGATATAATGTTCCACATCACGCACCATCTTGGGCCAAAAAAAATGATGCTGTAACATGGTAAAGGTCTTATCAATTCCCAAATGTCCTGCTAGTCCACCCTCATGAGTTTCTTTGATCAAGAGCAAACGAATGCTATGCCTGGGAATACATAAACGGTTTYTCTTAAACAGGWAGCCATYAKAGATATGATAGTCTCCCGTAGCGTGAGTCTGACAGCTGGTAAATWGATCTCCAAAATCAGGATCAGAAGGGTAGTTYTGCGGAAGTAGTTCGAGCCCAACAATTCGCGGCCGTAGTGAATTAACCAATGCATATTTAC